AGGCAATGCTTTCCTGAATCGGGCCCCCCGCGTCGCGGCCCCCTAGTCCCTGAGTGCTTGGACTAGGTGAGAGCTTCGGAGAGGCATTGATATATTTCGTTTTCGCTTTAGTTTTTAGCGCTGTTTACTTCTGATTGATATTCTAGCATTGGCGGAAGTAATGAATTCGTCTATAGACGGTTCAGTTTAAGCTGACTCGGGCACTGCCGGCTGTAGCTACAATCGTGTAGCTACAAACAGGGACGTATTTTAAGTCGAAATGGCGTCAGAACAGTTTTATTGTCCCAAAATAGATCGAATTATCGTAGTTCCAAACATTGGGAATTTGTTTTTATATTTTTCGATATTTCAATATTATCGAAACATCGTTCCCGAATTGTAAAAATTTGCAATATCGAAACTTCGATGGAAACAAAATACAGGTTGGGTGATCCGCGCCGTGGTTTTTTCCGGGGGGGCAGTGACTTCTAGTATTCACGGTTCACGAGGGAATTAATACCTTCAGTATTCAGGCGATATTCAGTGATTATTCAATGATATTCACTATAAGAGTGTATTCACAGTGCACTAAATTTCGGAGTTGGTGCCCCCTCGGTTTTTTCTGCTTACACTGTAGCGGAATCATGCGTGCTGGCGGGCTTGCCTATCGTCGCTCGCCAGGGCGCCTTACGGCTCCGTGCGAGTATGCAACCCCTCCGCACGCATGAATGCGGAACAGGAAAAAAAAAAACACGGCGCGGATTACCCACCCTGTATTGAAAATTTTCGACATTATCGAGTATCGCACGGCGCTATTTTCAGGTGCCCGCCCACTGGATGGGCAACGTGCTCATCGGGGCCATCGTAGGGGGCCTGAGCCTCGTGTACTACATCATCAAGGACGTCGCCCAGGCCCTTGCACACCGATTCGCTCAGGTAAATTCCATGTAATTGTCATAATGACCAATTTAATGTAAAATAGATCATATTCGAAAAACGCCCATCACTCAAAGGACACAGTATAGAAGCCCGCGATTTGTGTTCATCCGGCCACGCAGGACGCCTCTCAAGAGATGAGCTGCGCCGAGCTGTTGCGCTACCGGCGGGCGTGGCTGACGCTACGCGACATGCTACAGGGCGTCATGATCGCCCCCGTCTCGGTGACGATCGTCTGCGCCCTGCTGGTGATCAACAACGTGCTGTGCGTGTACCACGTGCTCAACTGCTTCCTGGGCGGCGCACCCCTGCACCAGACCCTCGGCCTCCTGGGCTCGTCCTCGCAGCTCGGTGTACTCCTCATCATCATGTGCTGGTCTGCAGACCGCGCGGTGGACTCGGTGAGCAGCCCACGGCCACGGGGTCGACGTGCCGCTCACCCACTGTGAATAAGCCTGCCGCCCTCTTCGTGTTCCAGGTCACCAATTTGGCCAGATCGTTCGAGCTCGTCGATCCCCTCTCCGTCACCAACTTCGCGTTCGCTCGCGAGGTGGGTACACACACGCCGTATGCAAAACGTAGGCCATAAGGCTGACTGACTCGTAATGCACGCTGACGCCGATCTGACGCACAGGTGTTCCGGGAGGCGCTGTCGTACAGCCCCGAGTCGGTGTGCGTCGCCGGCTTCTGGTGCCTCAACAGGAGGATGGTCTTGTCGGTGTGCCTGATGATCCTGACGTACCTCATGGTACTCGTCGAGTTCCGGCAGCAGGGGGCTTGCAGCCTCGGCAGCAACAGCAACAGTAACGCTACCCGGGTCGGCTGATCGGGCCGCCTCTGCGAGACGAACGGCTCCCGCGCCCGCGGCTGAGGCGAGTCAGACCACGAGGACGGCGGCGACGTCAGAGTTGTTGCGCGAGCGTGTCGCGGAGCCGACGCGGATCAGCGGCACCTTGTGCTTCACCCAAACTTTGTTCATTCGGCTCTGGCATTCGGCCTGTGAGGGAGGGCACGATTGATACACACAAAAGTGAAAATGTGCTGTGAAGTGATTATTTACGCTTATACGTTCGGCGCGTACGCGTATGAGCCTTATCTGCATTATGACAATCTACATTTAATTCGCTTACCTGAATCATCCCCGGTCTGCAAGCTTTTGCGTACACCAAGTTTTTAAATAGATCCTCGATTTTCTGGTCATTGTAAAACATGAGGAAGAACTGAATGGTGCGCGGTAACTCGGAACTTAGAAACAAATTTCCTGTAAATAAAGACCGAAATATTTGTATACCTACAGATTATGTCATGTAGTAACTCAGATTGCTACACGCACCTGCAAAACCCTGCTCCGAGTACTTGATGGCCATCCAGTACTGTTTTGCCTCTAGCTCCATGGCAAACCACTGCATTTTTGTGACAAAACCCCTGCTAACGTGGGATTCGTCAGTGAGCTGCAAGTAAAATTCTGCCCTCTCCTGTGAGTACATCATGAGGAAGGACACGTCGAGTGCGTGCTTCCAGTTGCCTTTGTCGCCATCCCCGTCGATGTACGACGGGTAGAACGAGTCCGGGGCGCAGATGACCTCGATCAGCCCGGACTCAACCTCCGCGCCAAAGCGATCTCGCATTGCCTCGTATCCCACGATGTCCTCCTGAGAGAAAACTCAACAAGAATGTTATTTGGGGGACATCCCCCCCCCCCTCC